AAAAAAAAAAAAAAAAGATGGAAATTGCTTTCCCACCTATTAGGTGGGAAAACAAATCCAAGAAAATGTGCATAAAATGGTTGTACTTAGAAAATGTAGGAAAAACAAAAGTCAAGTAAACTTTTGCAATCAAACACCATTAATTAGGTGAAATTGGAAAACATTTTTTTTTTCCACTAATTTTCTAGGCTATCAAACACACCCTAAAAGTTTTTCAGTAGTAGAAGATCTTTCTTGAATAATTCATAGATTTTCTTCGATATTAAAGTTTTCTATATTAATATATGTTGTTATTCTTTATATATTTTACAAATTCTAGTTTCTAAATAAATTTTCTGAAAGAGAATCATGTATGATCAAATATTGAAATGGTTTCAATTCCCAACATGAATTACCAAGTTTATTTAAGAATAAACTACTAAACTATAAAACATGTGCATGACACACACACACTAAAATTGGAACCTTGAAAAGAACAGTTGAGAGGAAGAGGTTTGGCCCTCTTCATTTTTTATAAGTTTCCAATTTTTTTCTCAACATAGGTGATGATGAGTAAGGCAAAGATAAGAAATCAAACACGGAAATTAGAAAGAAATGTTCATTTTAATTATGTGGTAGAGTGCGGTTGTGATAATTGTGTTGTTATGTCTGGTTGTGAGCACTTTTAGCAACATAGACAGTGTAATGTGCTCATCGACGTCTAATTATAAGATGTGAATCATTCACAAATCTAGCTCACAACTACATGAATAGTTCAATACTTATTGATATTTGATTCTAAGATGTGGACTAAATTGTTCATAACATCATATAGTTCTTCTAAAATGTTGGCTATATAACAAATGAGCCTCTCCTCGTGCTTGAACCATTCTCTCCCACCACGACAAAGTCCAAGAACTTAATGGAATAAAAAAAAAAAGGTCAACGCCCCTCTAAAATGACGTCATCTTACACGTCACCTTCCAGCTTGTGCAAACCCTTTAAAAAGACTGCATATACTTCTTGGTTTTTATCAAACCAATAATTCATTTCCATTTTCTTATCTTTCTCACTAGTAATTACACGCCATCACCATGTATGGACACGTTGGTAATGAATTTTCTTATAACAACTTGGGCCATTTTCCATTACCAGACATCACTAGTACTACTACTGCACCATTAGTCCTGCCCCAGCTCTCAATTCCGAGCAACAACCTCGACTCCCTTTCGGCATTCAAATCCGATAGCAGTGGATGCAGCAGTTATATTGGCTCTCCCACTTCAATCACCAGTTTTGGAACACACACTCCAACTTTGATTCAACGGAGCATCAGTAGCCACTCTCTTCAGAAAAACTATGAAGGCTACTCTACACTGGATTCATCCCCAGTCAGGAAGGCTTTAAGCACTGGTGATTTGCAGGTAACACCTGCTTTTTCCATGTCGGATTTTCTGGAGTCTTATTAATCGCACTGTACATTTCGTTCCTTCTACTGCTAATAGACCTAATATTCCTACTATGTATACAAAGGTCGTTTAAGTGGCCGGTTTTGAGTGTGTGAGAGGCACGAGACTTTGCAATCGGACATTAAAAACCTACTGCTACAACATAGACCTAGTCCTCATATCGAGGGTACTCTCCCCATAGTCCCTATGCCCTCTTTGGTGAATATTAAAATCAGTTTTTTTTTTTTTTTTTTTGCAGATTTTGATAAAAATGAATAGTACATGTGATTGAAAAGTTGTGGTTCCCATGAAAAGATTTTGGCAAAAATTAATTTTCGAATGACATTAAAAAGTTTTCTTAATCCGTGTGAAAAACGAAATAAGCCTTGAAATGGAGGGAGTATTAAAATTAATTATTGATTTTGACTTTGAAAAAAATTTAAATTATAATTTCTATCGACCAAGGCTATATATTTGAACTTTTTTCTTCTTTAATCATGAACCCTACGTAGTTGGTTTTGCATAATGTAACAGGGCATAAACTTGGCACAACATAACCAGCGTTGCAACAGTCCATTGTCAAATGACAGCAGCATTATCATAGAAAGTATGAACAAAGCCTGCCGATACAGTCCGGAGGAGAAAAAAGAGAGAATTGAGAGATACAGAAGCAAGAGGAATTTGAGGAATTTCAACAAGAGGATCAAGGTTTATAAAATTTTCCAAATTCACCTTTCTTATATATCAATGAAACCAGAATGCATAGACAAATTATGTCCTTAGACGTCAAACTAAACCTCTTTGTAGGGGTACATAATTAACTTTGAAATCACCAAATATTTATCAATTTCTATATATATGGTTTGTTATTTAGCCCCTGTTTGAGCTATATTATTTTTTTCATTATCATTCTTCTACTCATTTTCAACCACACATTTTTCAATAAAATAATATTTTCCGTCACATCAATAACTTTTCCTTCTTTTTCAACTACATATTTTCCATCACATCAAACAAAAAATGCATTTTTAGACTCAAAATGTACACCAAACAGGAGCTTATTATCTAAGTTTGTGTGTCGCAGTATGAATGTAGGAAGACATTAGCAGACAGTCGACCGCGCATTAGGGGGAGATTCGCGAGGAATGATGAAACGGAGAAGACAACGCAAAGTCATTATGATAATGCGGGTATAGAGGAAGATGAAGAGGATGATAATAACTGGATCGATATTATTAATGCTTTTTCTGCAAATCTGATGCCATGATCCTAAAAGAGTTCCCAAATTTTAATGCTTAGGAGCTACTTATCTATTTTTAACTTTTCAGCGTTAAGGATTCTTAAAGATGGATGTTATGTAGTCTACATTTCCTTTATTGCATTGTCAAAAAAATTGAATTTGTGCAAAGAAAATGTTACTCACTAATTTCAAGAATCCTATTTGTGAAATACAAGGTTTGTTTGCCACTGAATATACACAATACTGTTTGATTGAAGTTTCAAGACAAAATAAGAAAAATTAGGCTGCAGTCTCAATCTCGTAGTCAGTGGATGGTATTCAGGATTCGTGAATTTTGATTGGGCCGAGCTATTCGTCCAGGGTCCACGAATAGATTGACATGCAAAGTAGTCTAATGGATGGAACTTTTGTCCTAAAACTTATAGCTTTTATCTTGGTGCTTACTAAACTAGTAGTGCCCATATACGAGAGTCAATGTGGAATGTGGTCTTTCATAACCATTTAAAATTTAAAATTAAGTGATTCAATAATGATATTAAATTTATCAAAGGTCTTTTAAGTTTTTCAAGTCTCATCACCATACATTTAGGGGTTTTTTGAGCCCCATTTTTCTCAAAAAAAAAAAAAAAAAAAAAAATCAAAATTTATTTTCAACCACACATTCTTCAATAAAATAATATTACACATAAATTTAAAATATTTTCTTAATTTTTAACCACGCATTCTCCATCAATCTACTATTCTAAAATATATTATTTCCCTAAAATGGGCTCAAACAAGGGCTTAATGAAATTTGTTACGTGTCAAGCTTTAATGAATAAAAAAAAAATCTTGTTTGCACATTAGGAAAGTGTTGAAGACGATATCTAATGTTTTTAACCGCTTAAATTTTTATATGACGTGGTTTTAACCGTCAACCTATGGATTAAAAGATAAGCAATTTTGAGTTTTCAAATTAATCAATATTGTTCGAAGGAAAAATGAGGAATTTGTATGAGCTTATAATTAATGGTTCAGCAAAAAATATATATGCACGACAGATTATGTAATAGTGATTTTTTTAAAAAATGTCTTGTTCAAAGTATGGAAAAATTTTAAATTTACTTGTTAAATTATTTTATTGAGAGAAAATGTGATTGAAAATGAGTTTTTAAATAATGGGCTCAAAAGTGGACAAAAATCAAATAGAGATGTTTCCATTTTGGATTGATCGGAATCGTTTGTTACAATGTATATTAACTTTATTTTTCTTCAAACTTATTTTTAAATACACATTATCTCAATAAAATAATTTTATCCGTGGATCCATAATTTTTTCGTCTTTTTAACCACACATTTAAAAAAATCATTTCCAGTTGAAATAATCTCTTAAAAAATAATAAAATTAATTATGACTATTACACTTCGTCCTATGAGGCTCGAATCTCTTACAGTCAACTAACAAGTCACCTCAAGCTCACATTCCATGGTATTGGTTATCTGGCCTACCGAAGACCACTAAATAGAGGCAGTTGAAGTTAGAACTATGCTAGATGTACAGAAAGGATTTCACCAGAAATTCATCAGAATACACACATTTGGTGGGTCCCGCGCATTTTTTATTTTTTTAATCACATGGTGGGACCCACGCATTTCTCTCAAGCTCACATTCCATGGTATTGGTTATCCGGCCTACCGAAGACCACTAAACAGAGGCAGTTGAAGTTAGAACTATGTTGGATGTACAGAAATGATTTCACCAGAATACACACATTTGGTGGGTCCCGCACATTTTTTATTTTTTTAATCACATGGTGGGTCCCACGCATTTCTCTATGTTCTGGCAATATTCTGGTGGCCCCCTTCTGTACACGGGGGGAAAAATCCTTGAAGTTATGCCATCATTTTCGTCAAGGTCTCATGTAGAAGTTGACCCTCCATGACAGAGGTGAAGTGCAAAGAGCAGTTTATTTTCAAAGCCATTAGCCTTTAAATCCACAAAGGCATTTTCCTAGCTTCGCTTCTTCTAAGAGATATTTCACACAATATTTTTTATACAATTAATTGATGTGACCTCTCTACAACAGACGATTCTCAATTAACTTGTTAATCTACTTTTCAAATGTGACTTAGGCTATAGGATCACTATTCATGATCATTAAATGCTCTCTGAACTTAGAACAAGGAAGAAACATATAGGGGATGACACGTTGATGGTTAAGATGATGTTGCATATCTTTTATTTAACGATAACCACTTCATCTCATCTATTATAAAACCTCACACTTATTGGTATCATTTACAGGTAATGCTATCTTACACTCTCAACTTGTATATGAGAGATGAAATGTAAAAGCTTGTTTGACAAATTTTTTATAGATGTTAAAATGATGGGTCTCATAAAAATGTATGGTTAAAAGTTGAATGGATATATGTGGGTATATTAAAATGTACGATTCAAAATGAAATTTGATCTACTTAAAATTTGGGGCGAGAAAAAAAAAAAAAAAACTTTACAAAGAAGAGGTAAGTAACTAGACTGCTCAAATTATTCTCTAACAATTTGAAATTTTAAATAAAGTATTTGAGCAAAAGACACTATTCCCCAACTCCCAAGAAAATGAAAAACCCTATTAAACCTCGGCAGCATTTGTATTATCTTTGAAAGTACATGCTTGGCATACTTGTATTTAATATTGTAAAAGCAATAACTTTCACATTAATCATCTGGTTTCCCATGTTACTGAATTATGAGGTCTTGTTTTAATTATAGTACTTAGATGCTAATCAATGGCATCAAAATGGCCCTAGAAGTGGGGAAGTCGGCTTGTTGGCTCTTGTCGGCCTGTGATGGTGGGTTATCCACTGCTTTTATTAAGAAAAGAATAATATTGTTAATGGTATTAGACACCAATCTAAATGTCCACAATTAATATGTTCAATTAAATGAATATGTGACATTACATTTAAGTGAATCAATCATTTAATGTCATNACTTCAAATTTAAATCATTAGCGGCGAAAAGGCGCGGAATCTTGACATGAAATTGATTTCACCATCGATACCTCTATAGAGGCTTCAACGGAATAATGAATTAAAAGATAAGCAATTTTGAGTTCTCAAATTAATCATTATTTGAAGAAAAAAAATGAGGAATTGAGACGAGCTTATAATTAATGGTTCAGCTTAAAATTAACAGCCCTGCTATGTATGTGTATAGAAAAATACTGCTAGAATTTTCACAGAATACATTTGACAGTTTTCTATTGGACCAAAAAATAAAAATAAAAAATCAACCAGATGTTACCACAGCAGCAGCATCAAGTGAAATTCTGGCAGCACTATTTCTGTACAAGCAGATAAATTCTATAATTAATGGTTCAGGAATAAATATATGCATGATAGGACACCTTAATGAGGATTGTTATGTGATTAGATAGTTCGGACGAAGAAAAGTTCTTCATATTAGATCCAAATAGGGATGTTTCCATTCCGTTTCATAGTTTGGTTGGCACAATTTATACTAACTTTATTTTTCTTCAAACTTATTTTTAATGTACAAAGAAATTTCCTTAGCTTTGCTTCTTCCTAGAGATCTTCTATGCAATTGATTGATATGATTTCTCTATAGCAAGTGTCTCTTAGTCAACTTATCAGTCTACTTTTCAAATCTTAGGCCCTGGCCATAGGTTGATAACTTTTCAGAATCATCAAATACTATCTAAACTTAGGACTATAGAAGTGACACATAGAGTATGATTCGTCGACTGTTATGATATCATGTATCTCTCATCCAACGATGACCACTTCAACTCCTCTGCTATAAAAGTTCACACTTAATATAATTTAAGGGTAATTCTATTTTACACTATCAACTTGTACATGAGAGGTGAAATGTAAAAGCTTGTTCGACAAAATTCTTATAGATGTTAAATTAGTGGGTCTCATGAAATGTGTCGTTAAAAATTGAATGGCATATGTGAGTATACTGAAATATATAGTTCAAAATGAAATTTGACCAACTTAAAATAAAAAATGAGCATGACAAAGAAGAGCTAAGTAACTAGACTACTCAAATTAACCTCTAACAATTTGAAATTATAAATAAAGGATTTGAGCAGAAGAATCTATTCCCACACTTCCAAGTAGAGGAAAAACCCTACTAAACCTTGGAAATATATATGTTATCTTTGAAAGCACATGTTTGACTTTAGGAGCCATTCTTGTATTTAGCTCATGTTGATCTCCATTATTTTCAAAATAGATTTTTCTCTCTTATTTTCAACCACACAATATTCAATGAAATAATATTACACGCAAATTCAAAAAAAATTCTTCATTTTTTAACCACACTCTCCCTCAAAACATTATTCCAAAATATATTTTAAAAAAAAAATGGGGCTCAAACATGCTGTTAATATTGTAAAAGTAATAACTTTACACTAATCATCTGGTTTCTCATGTTACTAAATTATGAGTTCTTGGTTTAATTATAGTAATTAGAGGCTAATCAATGGCATCAAAATGCCCCGTAGAAGGGGGAAGATAGCTGGTTGGTTCTTGTCGGCCTGGGCGGTGGGTTATCCACGACTTCTATTAAGAAAATTGTGCATAAGTTATTAGAATTATTGTTGACCTCATCTTTTTTAGGAGCAATATGACCAACAGATCACAAGGCCTCTCATACCCATGTAAATCTGTTCATGTACATTAGGACAAATCGTTAGCCACATGTGACTTTCTTTGATGGTGGGAGAGACAGCCATACGCACTTCGATGTTCAAGTCAGTTGGAGCAATAAATATTTGAGCCTGAGAGATGCTTTGGATGCGAGCCTCTTATATAAAAATGGGTTCAGCTTTGTGGGGGAATATCTAAGTAAATGTAGATAGCAAAGTTATAGTTTGAGAATATAAACTCGCATTACCTTTGGAATTGCATATGGTACTGTAACGACCTGGGTCCCATTAACGGGCTATCCCGACCGTTAGATCGACGACGTACTGTCCCCACTATACCAAAATGGGTCTTTCGGTATACTTTATCCT